GTCCTTTGACATTTGTTACCAAGGAACATCAAGAAGAAGAAATATCTAACACCAGTTGGCGGAAGGACCCATCATCACGGAAGACCGACATCTTTTGAACCAGACAAAGTAAGCCAGCAGTAAGGTCTATTTAAACTGCCTTTATTTTATTTTTATGATATTGTTCAGAATCTGTATTGGGATCCTGATCCCTGCTGCTTGGCCTTCTTTCCCTGGAACTGCAGATTTTTTGTCAATAATTATCTAAGAGGCTGTTCATACATGCTCTGCAACAGTCTGAACCAAGCTGAGACACCTGTACAGTACCCACACAGACAGCTAAGCTCCTAGGAATAAGAAGTGTATAGCACACTCTTGCTGTATCAGTGACAGCTCCCATACTGAAGTGAAGCACGACTGTAAGCCAGGGCTTCTCCATTTTCTACAGGTTGCATGTCAGCCCTCTCCTACTGGAAGAAGGCATAATGGTAGGAAGTCACCTGGAGCTGCCTCACATTTGAGTGGTTGTTTTAAGGAGCCCAGCTCACCTCCCCGTGTAAAAGGTAAGTTCTGTGGAAACCTCCTGCCTGCTTAAAATGGTCTGCAACTGGTCCCCAGCTCTTGGCTCATAGAGAATGTCAGTCACTAAAATACATCTATGGTTCTTAGAAGTATTGTCGAATTCATATTTTACAAGAGATTGAAAGCAGATTGTGCTGCCACCTACTTAACTCGCTGAGTTTGTTGTCCTAGAGGTTCAGAAGGTGGGAGAATGGATGTGGACTGCCTTTCATTTTGGTCCAGGACAAAGCACCTTTGGGAGGATGGACAAGCTGTTAGCAAACACTATCAGTGTAAGAAGCAATGTACTGCAAGACTTCAAGAGCTAGCATCTTTAAAAAGCCTAAGGTACGTATGGAAATGTTATTCAGCAATTTTCATGTGCTTTCAATGATCTCTTTTTCTGCAGTTTTTCTTACAGGGACACTTTTACCCATATCATATAGCTCAGAAGACACTTTTCTCTCACAGTGTACAGGAAAGACACTTGCAGCTTTGCACCCTGCAAGAACAATGAAGAAACAGAGGTATTTTGCCATGTAACTCTATAAAATAGAGTTACAGTGACTCTGTGGTCTTAGTTTTCATAAACAGCATCCTAACTCCAATTCATTTGACAACAATAGTCTCCTGGCTTTATTATTTTCCTTTACTCCTTATATAAGCGCAGTCTTTAAAACAATATTGCAATGGCTTCAAATAATAGGCTAGATTCCTTTGTCAATATATTTCTGCACAGCTGTTGAACATTTATGTTGTTAGCTAGCATTTTAATTTTGTCTCAGGAAGAAGCTCTTAAAAAGACAGGAAAATTGCTAAGAGCTTAGAATAGAGTGGCTTTTGTGACCCCAGACAAGAGAAATGGCATAACTGCATATGACAAAAAAGTACTTACAGACAGTTCTATGATGACAGACAGTTCTTTACATGATGACGTAAAGGTTTGAGCTACTTAAAATTCCAGTTCTTACATGAGCAGCAACTGTATTCTTTCCATCTGTGAGGAGAAATAAAACACTAAGAAAAAGAAAGTATTTTGTTCCCACTTCCTATGCTATGCAGTAGACACAGAGCTTTAGAGATGGATCTGGCATCTTTAAGCATGGTGTTTATAGTTATTTAGTGAAGCATATCATTGCCCTGTGGGGAGCAGTTCTCCCTATTCCTTCAGATCCCATAATTCACAATTCAGCACATCTTCAAACTGTAATTAACATCAGCTCGTAACTGCCAGGGAAGATGTGTGCCAGATGTCTCTTGACTTAAGGCTGCTTTACACGCTGCCAGATGACAAAGAGAGTTTATGGTAATGGTAAACTGGAATTGTAACATCCAGAATAGCCCTTAGTTACATAGATAGCACCACCTAACAGCTAAGGGCCGTGTAATTTGTTTTGGAAGAGTGGCTCTGGCTAATACAAATACCTTTCTTTGTAAATGAGTAACCAAACACTCAGAGATCGTTCTACTCTCTGTTCCTGTGTTTATTCTCTCCATTTTGTATAGCGTAATTTTGCCAGAATGCACTTTTATCACCTCATTTTTGGACTTCCATTTTGCTATTTTTTGCTTTCCAAATGGAAGAAAACTGGAATTAATGTGCAACATTTCTAGTTACAAATAAAATAGGAAAATTCATTGCAAACAAAAGGCAATACCAGAAAGAAGGGTATCTTTTCTTTGTTTGTTAAAATAAATAATTTTTTGCACTATTGTTTTAAGTTAGTGAATATATTTTTAAAACATTTCTGTTTATATAACACTGACTTTGAGGTTTTCATAATATAACCTCCAAAATCAATATTATCTAGAAGGTCAAAGTTACATCAAAAAAGGAGAAAGCATGGGATAGAGGTGCAGGAAAAAATAGAGTATCATAATGGAAAGGTAAAAGAAAATAGGTTTTTTTTTTTTTTTTTTTTTTGGTTGGGAGATATTCCATTTTTGTGAAAATTTTGATAGGATTGGAACAATATGACACAGTTGTAGTGCATCTTCTTGTTGCCTTCTTCTTTGAGTGTTATCAGAGAATTATACTGTGGTATTTGATACATCCTGAACAGAAATAACTACTACAGAATCACCAGGAAAATTTATTAACCAGAGGGTATGCTGGGTATGAAGTCTTCTCTGACTAGTGTCCTTTCTGTAGAAGAGCATATTAATGACATTATTGCCTGCTGTCGATGAGAAATCTCAAGCAAATTTTTAGGTCTGTGCATGGAGCCAAAATTAATTCTGTAGTACTGAAAGTCCATGCAGGGTTACTTGGAAAGAAATGGTTCTTAACCTACCACATCAGCAATCTGTGCTAATACATCAAGTTCAATCATTTTGATTCACACAGTCCAGAACCAGGCATCTCTCAAGTGACCTTCATGGAAGATGTGCAAGCATATAGGAAATGAGTCTGGTCAATAATTCACTAAATTTGGTCAAGAAGAAACCTGACTGCCTTCCCTATTGCTGCAGGGATGTCTAACTTATTTTGCGTAACATTAAAACAAAGTGGTGGGGTGAGAACTTGGAACACGTGCTACAAGTAAATTCATCTTGTGAAAAGAAAATTTCTTTTGTCCTTTTTTTACACACAATTGAGGAAAAAAATAATGCCTGTTCTGCAGAGATGTTTTTGAAATAGAAAGATGTAGCATGACTTCCTTCAAGATCCAATTTAATTGGAAGGCAGTGTTGTCTTGGTTCAACAAGACAGGAGTCTGTGAAAGAGGGCAAAGCCTCCTGTGCAATGGAGAACGGCAAACCCCCCTCCCTCTGAATTACCACGATCTTTAAATTAAAAGGCTCTCAGGCAAAGATATGGGAATGGGAGTAACAATTCTTTACTAGGAGAAAACTAGACAACAATTTAAAAAGGCAAATGCAATCGGTACAAACAAAACCAGTGAAAAAGTCCAGAACCTGAGGATTCGGGGTGCCAGTAGCAGTCCTGCTGGGACGATTGCTCCCCTTGCAGTGGTTGGTGAACTGCAGCTGCAGTGGTGATCTTTAGAAGGGTATAGTTTTCCTCTGAAGATCTGGTGGCAGTGGGGCCGGTCTTCCTCTGCGCCGGGGTTGCCTCCGAGCTCTGCTGCCGTCGCCTCAGCGCGCTCCGGCTGCTTCGCTGCGAGTGCCGCCGAAGAGAGCTGCTTCTCTGGGAATCCCGCGAAGAGAGAGCACGAGCTGCCTCTCTCCCCAAAAGCTACCCCTTTATACCCAATAAAAGAGTGCTTGGCTTCCCCCTCTGGGTGGAACATCTCACAATAGCATGGTGTTATGTTACCAGCCCTGCATTGAATCAGTCAATGGCCCACTAACAAACCATTACCTCTTAGGAGCAAAACCGGTTCTTGGGAAAGATAACAAAACCTGTCCAACAGGTTTGCGTTCAACAGATGGCAAATAGAATACAAGCTTATCTTACAACCCAGGACAAGTGTAGTGCTGTCCATTTCCTTTGACTTCATCTGCATTGGATGCTCTGTGTGTTTGAAGGTAGAAGAGGTGCTTTCTGATGGACGCTAAATCCTCACTTTCCATGATGGTGCTAAAAAGGAGCTTGGTGCTGATGAAAGGATGACATTGATCAGCTTTTCCAAAGGAGATGTAAAGAAGATCAGGCCAGATCAGAGGGTGGTGGGTAACTTTTTATTTGCTTTAAGGAAAATAAAATGATTAACTGATTTTCCAGCAAGGTTCTATAATTTATCTTTATCTATCAGTTCTGAGAGAAACTGATGAGGAAGGGTGTTGGTTTAACAACCCTGAGCAGTGAAAGTGCTTAATCTACAAAGACAGAAATGGAAAGGCTTGAAGGTAACAGTCAAAGAAGAAACAAATGTGTAGCTGGCTGAGCAGGAGACCAAACAAAGGCAAGGGGCATGGGCAGCCCTCTGAAGCAAGGACTGGTTTTTATACGTTTGTAGAGTAGGTAGCACGGATGTTTCTTACATGTCGGCATTCTGTGAATATAAAAAGCTAATAACAGTGTGGGCTAAAGTGGAAATTAGCGAGGTCTTTGCAGCACTGGGATTTTTTAAAATTAATAGTTCATGGATGAGAGCATAGAGGTGGGAGGATGACTTTCATGTGCACACTGCTCTCCTGCAGGCTACAGAGGTGAAAGTAGCATCATATGGACCCAACCATGAGGGTGAATGAGAGAAAGGAAGAGCAATGTGAACATAGCTACTTTTATGGATGACATGCAGAATATGACCTTGAAATGACTTTTTAAAGATGGCTTACTTTTGAGCACATTGTTATGGTTGAATCTGTTTATCCAAATATTGTGAATATGCTGCTATCATCTCACTCGCCTTCCAGATTTGTTATTATGCAGGTGCACAGACAACTCACACTGCTTATCCAGATGTCCTGGAGATACTGCAGTTCACTAATAATCAGATAGGTATGCAAGATCTCATAATATGAACTGTTGTATGTCCAGATTTATTTCTATTATGAAAATGTGGTATGAATTCTGACTCCAACAGATTGGGTATTTTCTTGCCATTTCACATTGTCTTTACATTTCACTTTCAGTATATTCCATCGCTTCTCAGTTTCCTCCTACAAAACAAATATAATAATGGAATGTAAATTTAGCTCTTCCAATCCTGATTATCTGATTATACAATTATTTTATTTCTTTTACTAGTATTGTAGATATAACTCACATCCTGCATACTGCAATGTCCCAAAAAATACCCTGATCTAGCTTTGTGTAAGGCAGCCTGAAAGAATACTAGACAGACTTTTTACATCCTCTTTTCTACAGAAAAACATTATCCCAATGGCACACAAGAAATTGTGCTCCCAGATCACACAGTGAAATGGCTCCACAGTGATGGACTGAAGGAAACTTTTTTCTCAGATGGCACAGTAGTAAAAGTAGAAAAGTAAGTCTTGTTTAAATAACAGGGATCACATTTTAGACACTGATATAACAGCACTGACATTCAGAACTGTGGTTGGATTTTGCATAGTTGGGAAATTTCCAGATGAAGGGGAAAAGGATTTGTAAGATAACAAGAATTTTGCAAGAACACGGCACTGAAAATTCACTTCCACCTTGAATGATAGGTGATGATTCACCACTGGTAAAATTACTGTGAAATATTCCTCATTTAGTTCCATGTAACTTTACACTGGCCAGAGTAGCTGGGAGATCAGCAGTTGTCAGTGTTAGCTATATGGGTACTAAAGGACTCAGGACGAGGACTCCTGAGCTCTATTCCCAGGTGTTTGGCTCCCACTCTAATATTGGGCGAGAATTGAGATTGTCTCAGTTGGTTACAGCATGGTATAACCATGCTATTAAAACCAAGGCTGTGGGTTTGATCCCTGAAAGGGTTATTCAGTTAAGAACTGGACTTGAGAGTCCTTATGGGTCTCTTCCTAGTTATATTCTGTGAATCTGTATTGTCTCTCTATTCCTCCATACAAAATGAGAAAAACATCTTTGGGACTCTTATATGTCTCTTCTGAGGAAGAGGAAGGATCCTGATGTAAAATAGATTTTCTGCTTGCAAAATGCCTTGAGATCCCTGCATGAAGTAATGTAAAATTTGGATCTCACCATCCATTAGCTATTATATTATGTATTGAAGTCTTTTTGTGTGACCAGATTTCTAATGCCATTCTATGTAAATCCTGAGGTTTTCCACTTGACGTTATTTTCCTATTTCATTGAGCTATGTTAGACAACTCTGTGAGACAGGTTAATAAAAGACAGTTTTCTCCTCACTTCATTCATTCCTACTACTTTCAGCAGCAGAGATAAACTAGTGGTGTTCAGTGATGGCCACAGGGAGATTCATGCTGCGCAGTTCAGGAGGAGAGTACCTGGATGGCACTGTGAAAGTTGTGTTCTGCAATGGCAGACAAGAAACCAGGTGTTCCATTGGACAACTCCAAATCAAGGATGAGAGGGTAATCTCATCCTAGAGAAGAAGTGATTCCTCCCTGCAGAAGGCTGCGCTGTACCTATGTAGCTCAAAGCATTTTTTTATCAAATCAGAATTGTTAGGAAGATCTAACTTGTGAAAGTGAATGGATGGATCTGTAGGGCTGAAAGTACTTTGGCTCAGCAGCTGGTGTTTAGATTGGAATAATGTTACCTGAATGAAATTAAGACTGAAGGAGATGCAGTCACACCCTTTTTGTATATTCATTAAATATTAAACATTAAAAAAAACACCCAAAGTACTTTTCACCAAAGTGTTTCTTTCATGGTACTGATCACTCTTTCTCTAGTTTTTCTGTAATTTTATTGTGAAATTGACTATAATTAATAACTATGTTATAAGAACCCCAAATGTACATTCAGTGCTGCCTTATGCTGACTAGAATAAATCTGCATGGGGTATTTATTTCCTGAGTTAATAATCAAAAAATGTGGGGAAGTGATTGATGTCTTCTGTTTGTTTGGATTTTTTGAAGCAGAATTTCCCAGTGTGTATCAAGGCTTATCATGAGCTGGACATTAGACCAAACCCTGAGCAGGAGTGGAGAGAACAGTCACAGCTCTGGATGTTCCTTACAACCAAAATTACTCAAAATTTATATGATCAGAATCTAAAAACTCTGCCTTATGCATTTGAAAATAAAATTTAATGTTTATTCCATCCTATTGATTATTTGGATCAAAGATCTGGATCTTCTGAATCTTTCTTCTTCCTCCAGCAGTCTTTCCTCTTTGTTGCTTTGTCTTTGAAATAACCTTTCCCACTATTGCTTTAATGCTTCAGTAATGCAAATATATTTCTGGTCAGTGAATCTCTCCATCTGTAAGGTTCTTTGGATGGTACTTGATACTTAGAGGGATTAATAATTTATCAGCTGTTGCTTTTAGCTGCCTTCCCCATAGACTGCCTGTCAGAAAGCCACAGAATAGTTTGGGTTGGAAAGGACCTTAAAGATCATCCAGTTCCAACGCCCCTTGCCATGGGCAGGGACACTTTCCACTAGACCAGTTTGCTCAAAGCCCCATCCAACCTGGCATTGAACACTTCCAATAAATTTTTCCAAATCACTGAAACTCTTCTATTGTAGAGCTCAGCTCATTACCTGCCCTCTGACTGAGATACCAAATTTTCTCCTTATGCCCTTCAAATTCCTGTAGTAACAAATACACTCTCATAGCATGCTGCTTTAGCCTTTTCTCACATCTAAGTGCAAAAATTGCAACATTTTGGAATTGCTCTCTCTTCTCTTCTGTTTCCCAGGGCTCACAATCAGCAAATCACCACTCAAATTGCAGAGTATCTTTCAAAGAAAGTGCAAGATGCACTGCTGGTGTTGATCATACACATACTTCAGTTTATCAATTTAATTATGAAGATGTGATCATTTTGATATCAGCTGGTGTAATAATAAAATTGTATTGTTTTCCCTTAACTGCTTCATAACACTCCTGCTTTCAACTACAGAAATAGTTAATATATTTTATTTGTTTTGTAAAAGAAAACTCTAACTAAGATAAAATCAAGACATAATTCTTTTCTATGTGTTTCAGTAGGAATTCCAGTTTGTGCTACCTTATGCTGACCAAAATAGGTTTATGTTGATCTTTTTTCCTCAATTAAGCATCATAAATAAAGTGAATGTTGCTAGTGTTTTCAGTTTGGCTGAGAAATTAGATAGGATACCAATGTTTTATAAAGGACCATTTTTTATTTCCAAGAATTCCTCTAACAAAAGGTTCCTGTTCTCCAGTTAAAATGCTGACATTCTTTTTATTTCTGTAGTAAATCAGAAAACAGGCTTTGCTTGCAGCTTTTAGCCTTAAATCACTGTTTACTCCTTGCTTCATTCATTAAGCACTCTTGACTCTAATTTCAGGAAAAATTTTGGAATAATTTGGACCTGCACAATGTGTGACACATGGGGAATATGTGCAAGGCAGTCCCTAGAGCTGTACACAAGGGTGACCCTACTGAAGATTTTGTAGCACTTTTGCCAGCCTGTGTCTGACCATGGTTTTACCAAGACTCGTTTTTCCAGGTGATATTTTATAGTATAATAATGAATGGATTTTTGACATAAAGGGCACACAGTGGATTTGGAAACAAGGAGGCAGGAAATTCACTTGCATGAATGACAATCTCTGTCACGTGTGTTATAACTGAGAGTCCTTCATAGATGAGCTCTGACACATCCCACTTTGTTTTTGACAGGTTGATTCTCACATCCTCTCTCCTCCACCTTCCACTTGCCTCAGTTAACCAGAAGGATGACTCTATCATTTACAGTTCACAACTGTAGGAACAAAAATAACTCCAAAATAATCCAAATTAAGTGTGACTGCATATTGTGCTTAAACTGTAGCAACACACAGAGCTGCTTTTCGATGGTTTTTGTCCTGGAAGATTTGCAATGAAATTGTCACTAATCCTTCAGGGAGATAGAACACATTTGGGTATTACCACTTTTGTCTTTTCACAGGTTTTCCTCGCATTAGCAAAGACATGCTACAGCCAGGATTTGGCCGCAGTTTTTTCACATTTAGAATATGCTGTGACTTGTGAACAGAGCTAGTTCCATTCAGACAGCCAGTGGTGTGGGCCTCTGGTCCATATCAGAAGAAATATATGTGTGATTAGGTCATAGCTGCAGAAGTCAGGTGTAGGTAACCACCAACTGAGCTGGGCAGATTTGTGTGGAGAATGCCTAACCTCCTGGGATTTGTTTATTCTTAGCTTCACCTTTTGTTTGGAAAGGTATTTTGGGCACACTATTTTTTTCCTGCATCTGGGAAGTCAGTGTTTTTCTTGGAAGTGCCCTGGCAGTTTTCTTAGTTAGGACAGGCACCTTAGGAATACATCCTCTTCAGCGCAGGTTGTGGAGAAGATGCAGAAGTACATTTGGCCATTTTTTCATAAGCAAGTAAGCCAGGCACTCTCAGCAGCTTCGCTCCAGGGCACACACCTTCTGCCAGCCTTCATCCCAGCTACTTGGTTTGGCCTGGAAGTGTCAATCTGCTTGTAGTTCAGCAGTTCAGCAATACTGTGGAAAAGGTTTCTTACAGTGTCATCTATGGAACAGCCTAAACACAAGGCTGGATTTTGGTGGAGTTTTAAAAGCCAGGGTTTGAATTTGTCATAAACATTCTCATGGAGATGGAACTCCCACAGCTTCAAGATATCTCTTGTATCATAGTCACCTGTGTTCACTTCCATCTTACTTTAAGATGACTATCTTTGCACTGCTGCATTACTGGCACATTAACTCAGTATGTTACCCTGCTCTGAGCAAACTCTCTTGGCTAAGGTCATAAAGCCCAATGCAAAACAAACAGTAGACAGTAGAGAAATGCCTATTGATTTCAATTCTCTTTTCCTCCTCTGACATGTACTGATTTAACTCACTGATAATCTTCTGCTCTTCCACCGATGAGCTCCTCCAATTCCTGAGGAGCAGGGCATATTCTTGTCTCATCACTTCCCTCTCAAAGAAATAATGTTCCATAGAAATATACATTAATTCAAAATTAAATACCATTTCCCACTGTCTACAGTGGTAGCAAGTGATGGACCCCACCTATTTTTATTAGTAGGAAGTGCATTTTG